CTCTAGCTGTTGTTTTTCTGTCCAGTTCCTTAGCGTCTCCCCTGTGCATTTGCAACTGGGGGTCAAATGGAGGCTTGAGGGGAATTCATGAGCGGATTTTAGAGGTTGCTTCCTTGTTGGGTCCATCTTTTCTGGGATTTGCGCCCCCTTTCCCCAGAGTCTCTAGCAGCATCAAACTCTGTCCTCAAATACCACAAGCTAAAAACCAGGGCTTTCTGTGTGAGTCCTAGCTACCTTGTGCTGCATGGTCTGGAGAGTGGCCTCTGGGGAAAAGCTACAAAAAAACATGAGCCTCACCATGGCCATCCCTTCTGTAGTCCCCGAAAGACTACTTTCGGCAGTGCCTTCAGAATTGTTTTTTAATGTTTTGTCCAGAGTTTGTATATAATTGTTGTCTCTGGGAGGGTTAGTCCCTTAGAAGCCACTCTGCCGTTATTGACACTGAAACTCTTTCCATGACCTTTTGATGTAAAGAAAGAAAGTGGTGGTTTAAAAAGACACTCAGAGGACATCTGCACGTCTCTGCTCCAAATCTGTCTCTGGATCAAGGTTGGCAAAACTTTTTCTGGAAAAGACCACGTAGTCAAGATTTTGGGCTTTGTGGGTCATTTGATCTCTGTCACAACTACTCAACTCTACTACTAAAGAAATCTACTGAAAGTAGCTATAGACTACATAAACAAAAAAGTACGGTTGTATATCAATAAAACTTTACTTCTAGAAACAGGCAGCAGGCTGCATTGGTTGACAAGCCAGACTAGCATGATACTCAGCTACTACACGTTTTCCCGATTTTAAAACAGGACAGTAACAGACTTTGTGCCTTCCTGGCGCTCTGACCTCTGGGAACGGTCATCAGGAGAATCCACATTAAGATTCAGAGTCATAAACCTAAGGACTGGACACAGCATCTATTAGATTGTGGTTCAGAAGCTTTCTTGGCAGAAGTATCTGAAATGTTTCTCCATTTCTGGGGTATTTATGGGATCTGTGGAGCTTGCGTGCGTGCTGCTGGCTCTGCCTCCATGCCACCGCTGACGTCCTTGTTAGTGAAGGATGACTGGTGGAGGGAGGTCACTTCAAATGAATTCACTTAGGATAGCAAATAGTGACACAAAGATCTGACAAAGGCACTCTCTTGAGAAAATAAATTTAAATTATGAAAACAAGTTTCATTTCATGTGATGTTAGGGAAAACATTGGGTTTATCATTGCAAGCACGAGCTAGTTTCCTGAATGAACACTGCATCGAAGTTGATTGAGGACTTGTGATTCTCCTGATGAAACAATATGCTAGCACAATACGATGTCTGTCTTTCATTTCATGCTTGACTCTCCTATCCTGTCATAAAAAGGAAATTTTCGCAAAAATATCTGAGGACTCCATCAGCTTTTCCTAGGCTGCTCAACTCTTTGGTCCACAAATCATTATCTTCTGAAACACTTATATCATCATCCTTATCGGTATTTTCCTCATCATTTAACAAGATCCCTACTGTCAATGGCTTTGCATGACATTTGTGAAGTTCTCCAAAATCACTTTCGTTGATGTAATGAAATCAATTGGCAAATCAATTGCAACCAGACCATCAGAAAGACAATCCACCTGCCAAAACCATAGACAGCAACAGATGCGAGGGTCCAATGGGGAGGATGTCTGAACGGTCGGTTCATCAGAAAGGATTCTCATTTTATGACGCCTTTTGGTTCCATGATGTACGTTACTACTGTAGAGAACTGAACAATACGTACGCAAATACCAGAACTTTATAATTTGAGGCATGCAATACTCACATGGTAACAGTAGGCAGAGGATCTGTCCTTCTCATCTGTGCAAAGATAGGGCTGGCAGTCAAATGACTAAGTCCACTGACATCAATACTGTGTGCCAGGGGCTGAGAGCACAGACGTGAATACAGTCTCTGCCCACCAGGAGCTCACAGTCTAACAGAAGACACAAGTGAGGAAATCGACAATCCCGTGGATGGGGCAATCAAAGACCGTGTGGGACACAAGGAAATACTCTGAAGAGTTCCTTCACTGATCGGTTCAACCAACGTCTGATCATCAGTGCTTTGTCAGGCACTATGCTAGGCCACGGGAACAGGGCAGTGAAAGGACACTGGTTCCAGCTCTTGTCAATCAAGCTCAGTAGACAGGTCATCTAACTGCAACTTGTAATGAGGGTCCTCAGGAAAATGAACAGGGGGCAGTGATGGAGCACGCACTGGGGTCCTGCTTCGGTACAGGGGGGTTAGGGAAAACTCCAGGGTGTGTCATTGAACCTGAGCCTAACAGGCTGGGCCGGCGGGCCATGCTCTGAGCAGAGGAAGAGAGCAGAAGGAGGGATGTACCTAAGGCCTGAGAGGCAAGGGCCCTGGGGCATTTGAGGAACTGAGTGGAGGCTAGTGGGCTGGAACTCGGCGGGTGAGAGGGTGGATGAACCAGGAGGGGCACCGGGGCTAGAAGGCAGGGCAGGCCGTGCAGGACTTTGTAGGCCGCCATTTAGGCCTTGGCTATTGTGAGAGAAGCAGTGGGAAGCCACTGAAGGAAGAGAGTAGTGTCTGATTCCTGTTTTCAGAAGATCCCTCCAGGTCCTGTGAGGAGAAGTGACACAGGGTGGCAGGCTGGGAAGGGGGAAGCAGGGGACCAGTTAAAAGGCTACAGGGACCCTCTGTGAGTCACAGGTGGCTGAGAGCGGAGCGCTGGCAGGAGAGGTGGAGGGAGGTGACCGTATGTGACGTACATTCAGAAGACACAGCTGCCCGGCACGCGGAATGAGCAAAATGTGAGGGCAGCTGAGGAAGGACGCGTCCAAGGCGACTTCCAGACTCGGCTGTGAGCAACGGGGGCAGGCGGCAATGCAGTCACTTCTCTGAGAAGAGCAGGGATGCTAGGAAAGCCCCCCCCTTGAGGTGACATCAGAGGTGAGTTTGGAAGGCTGGATATGAGCTTTCTAGGCTCAAGTGGGAGGGAGGGTATTCCGAGCCGAGGGAACAACAGTGCACAGGGACGAGGGGAGGGGACCACATGGCATGGTGGAGGACCATAAGCAGCCTGGTCCCAAAGTTAAACGGGGGGGAAGTGACGAAAATGGAGTCTGGCCGAGTGTGGCACACTCAGGTCTTAAAGGCCTCGCCCAGGACAAGCTGGCAGTCAGCGAGCCCACGGACGGGTCTCGTAGGAGGCTCACAGCATTTCAACCGTCTGTGGTCGGCTGTCAGATGTTTTGCTTTTCTTAAACCCCGTGCGGCCTGGCTGGCTTGGATGTCACTCCTGCCCCGTAGCTGGCGTTCCTCTCCCGACGGTCTCCACGGAACGGGGTTCCACGGGGCGGCTCTCCCCAGCCCTGCCCGTCCGCTGCCCATCCCCTAAGCGAGCCCCCAGCTTCGGGTCAGGGGGAGGTAGACTTGCATCCCGGAGCAACTACCCCACCGCAGAATCAATCACAAGTGGGGCAACAAGAGGCAGGCGAGCCAGCTAATTACAAAACTTAAAAGAACCTGCTATTATGGTAGCGGTAAGAGAGAGGCGTAAAGCGCTGTGTTATTCTTTTTTTATGTTCTAGAAAAAAGAGATGTTATACATCATGGTGTATCCTAGGACAGGCTCTGATTCAAAGTATAATGGAATCTATATTCTAGCATGATTCTTTATGATGAGGGTTTTGCTGGATCTTCAAATATATGGGAGGGGGTAATTGGAACTTGGGGATTCAGTGAAAGGTACATATATTATTGGTACGAAGAGCCACAGGCGTTCTTGGCTAATAGGACAGACGCCAGGGCTGTGTCTACAGATACATTCACAAAGGCTACGGGAAGCCACGCTTGTGAAGGCTGGGAGAGTGATGGTTAGCAAAGGTCTAGCTGTCCTAACTGCTCCATTCTAGATGCACAACACAAACAGAGTAGGAGTGGGGAGTGGGAGATGAGGCAGACATATCTCAGATGAGTAATTGGACGCAGGGCACGACATCCAGCGTTAAAAAAACAAACAAGAAAACGACAGAAGAAACCAAACAGAGCCAACTTAAGACGTGAAATCTGTACAAATGTATGGTGTCTACGTCTAGGACAACAGTAATGGCTTGTTTTGTCTTCCTCCATTTGTCTGTGACGACTCTTGTCAGATCTGTTAGCGTACGCGGTATCTATGGCGTCTTAGATAAGACCGTGACGACAGACTATTTCTCCTGGTTACTTCTGCTACCCTTTTAAGAGCTTACGATAGCACCGTGCATCCATCAGATGTTCTGTTTTGATAGTACTGCTTGAAAACAAAATTAAACAGCAGCTGAATAATGGGGTGGCTGCCAGAGGCCCCTCGACAGGGAAATCAGACACGGAGCCCAGAGGGAAAACGAGGCAGCAGAGAAGTGTCTGTCCCCTTCCCTGCCTTCCCACCCCAGTCCGATACGGGTGGGCCTCAGGAAATCCCATTCTGCACAGGATGCCCTGGCCCGGGCCCCACCCCTGGTTCAGGCTCTTCCTTATGCAGAGAACCATCTCGGACAATTTTATCGTCAGGCGTTTATTAACTACCTATTGCTCAGATCCGTGTTAGCTCATCCGTTTCACTTAAACCTCAAAGTTTATATGCTGTAAAGTTCCCTCTTTAGCTTTTAAAAGGCAGCTATAAATGAGATGTGCTTAACTCTCCCTTTCGACCACTAATTCTTTTATATCTTTGCTAGAGGATGGAGCCCCAAATTACACACAATGCTCTGAGTGGGATTTTATCAGGCCTGTTAGTCAGCATTTACTCCGAGACACTAAAAAGTATAAAAATGCCCTCAGTGCCCATTATCACTTTCTCCATCAGTGGACTTTGTGGCTCTAATTGAAAAGAAAAAGGCTGGCCCACGCAAATGGAAATAAATGCGTCTCTGGTGCGCGGGAGAGAAGTGAGTGACGTGGAATGATGGGGACAATGACAGTTTGGTCGGAGCTTTACTGTGGGCCTCAGAAGAACACATAGTAAATTAAAGGGCAACTTACTCGTTCTTGTCCAGCTGTATCCCAGATTAGGAATTTGTGTAGCTCATTTTGGTACTGGACAGTCTTGGTCATAAAAGATGCCCTATAAAGAGAGACCTAAATGATCAGAATACTTTTATTTAGAAATAAAATACTTTTATTTAAAGCACGACGCCAGCCCCAGTTGGAAACATCACTTAGACTTAAGCTCACACTCCCGCTCCACCCCATCTCCTAATTGTGGTCCTCTCTGGAGTATTTATGGGAGGCTCGGACGCTAGCTGCATATGCTGGGTCAAAAGAAAGCATTTGGCACATCTGCCCCAAAGAGTTCTTTGGTTTGGGATTGCCTAAGCTCCTTATCAAAAGAACCAAGAGACGATCTGGTAATCTAGATATGGACCTCCCTTGTAAACTACACAGAAGCTGTTATTAACAAAGATGGTATCATGGGAAAACTTTCTAAAAAAACCCGTGTGTCCAGGAAGGGAGTGCACTAATAAAAAATAATAGGCCGTTGCGGTTTGTGCTCCCCATTCCCCAACCACACGACTATACAAGTAGCTGAGTGAGAGGTCGTACAACACTAGAGTTAACAAAATTCAGGTGCCAAACAAGGAGCAAGAGGACGGCCGAAGACATGATGACCTGGGGGCCACTTCCGAGTTCCAGCTGACCCGGTGGGCCACACCAGCCCTCTGGGCCTGACCCCGCCCTCGATGGGGAAGGAGGGACGGTGGGTAGGTCACTCACTCTGAGAGACCACTCTGCCCCAAGGCCTTGGAAGGTCCCTATTGTTTGGGCGTCTTCTCCTCTTTGGAGATCCTGTGAGGAGCCACGGTGGCCCAGAGCATATGCCTGGACACTCCGGGGGCTCCTGGACACAGGCTCAAAGTCCTGGGGCTGGGCTCAGCTCCAGTGTTATCCGGTGTTCTACCCGCATCTCAGGCAGACGGCTCCCTCCTGGGAAGTCCTTTGTCCCCCAGGCTCCTCCACGTGGCCTATCAGGCTGCTGGCAGAACCCAGAGATGATTATGCCTTCTTTTGTACTGGATAACAAGCCTTCTGGGGCCGAGGGCCAAGTCGTACTCTTAGAATCCTACCCTAATCATCTTAATCAGGACATGAATGCGACGGCTAGGCATTTTCAAATACACAGGATGTCTGAAATATTTTTTGAGATTCAAGTTAATTGTGCAAGTTCTTTAAGAAAGTGCAAGCTGAAATCCATAGAATGATTTTCTGAAGAATCACGGAGTTTAGAGAAGTATCAATCCTTAGTTTTAAAAACTTAAACTCTAATACAATGAATGCCTGGCAATATTTATATCAGTTTATGGTTTAGCAAGCAGCCTCTGGAATAGTGACTGTGATGAGGAAGCAAGATCACATTTATTGGACAGGTACTATTTACTGGATATTTATTTACTGGAAATTTACCCCTTGGTATCCTTAGTAAAGTGCTTTATGCATAGACGGTGCTCGATAAATGGTTATCGTATCAAAAACTTCTGACGACCCACCATGATTAAATCAGGATGTGCGACGTGATCTCTCACTTAGGAAAGATCTGAGCATTCAAAAAGCAGTGTTTCTTGTGAAGATTAAATGCTATGAGGCATGGGGAAGTGCTTTGTAAATTGTAAAGCACTATACTTATACAAGGTATTATTATTATTATTTAAAGGCAGCTCCAGGAAATGTTTTAGTTTAGACTCTGCAATTAGTCCTAAAAGCTTACAGCTCAACTCTCCATCAATTACGGCTGTGGTGTTACACTGAAGAGTGACAACAGGCATCCAATAGAGGCCTGTGAACAGAACCAACGCACCCAACACATCCATTTTGGCCGCTCAAAGAGCAAGAGAAGAAATATGCTTCAAGGAGACAAAAAGATGAGAAAGGTATATGCAACAATTAAAAGGGAATGTTTCATTCCAGAATCAGAATTCCCCAAAGCTCAACCCATCCGCCAACGATTTCTCCTTTAACGAATACATGGGTTCACTACTCAGGTGAAAGACACGTAAAATGGCAGCTGCGATGCAACATAAGAATCTGACAGATTAAATCCAACTTCCTGTCTGACCCGAGACCACTCTCCCAGCTCCCCATCGTCATCACTCTTGACACACCTCCTTCTTGTCTACACGGAGCTCTGGCGAGTCAACTGAGCTCTGCAAGCTCAACTGAGGTCTTCTTGCAGCCACATCTGCTGGCTTCTTGTTCTTCGTGTCTGTAGGAGTCTCATCTGTCCTTCTGTCTCGACCACCCAGAAAAGTCTCCGGGCTTTTTCTTACGAGAAGCAAGCACACTGGCAAGGGCTCGACAGCACGAATGCAGCGTCTCATTCATCGCGAAAACCCACTGATGGCGCACCAGAAGGTCGAGTTTCCTCATTGGCCCCCAGCACCCCAGGCCCACCAGATGCTGGGCACTCAAGTAGTGGACATTTCAAAGCACATATGACTTCCCAGCCCACAGCAGCTCCAGAGCCTGCCCTTGAGACCTGGATCACATCTGCAACAAACAAGTTAACGCTTAGTTCATCACACCCCTTTGGTCTACTGTCTGTTATCACTGAACATACTTACAATCCCCAGTGTGCTGGGGGGTGCAGGTGGCGCTGAGTTACAATCCCTGCCCCTTACAGTCTGAAGACAAGAGAGAAGCAAAGAAACGAACTCTGACATAGCGACAGTGTCTGAGCAAGCACCCTTTGGGAAGACCCTCTTAGGGCATCCCTTGATGTCTGTCTTAGGAGAGGTCTCGGGGTGGGGGGGGGGGGGTTACACCAGGGAGCCAGAGGCAGGAGATGGAGGGAGGAGGCTGATGTGGATGAGATTCAAGGAACTAAAGGAGTGGATGGATGGGACGGGCCTCAGAAGTCAACCGGAAGTGGAGGGCCCCAGAGAAGAGAGGGTGGCTGGGGAGGTGACCTGGCCTTCCACTCTGAATGAATCTCGTGTGACTATCATCTCCGGGCCCAGAGCTGCTCCCTCCCCTCCAGCCGAGGTGACCCGGGATTCCCTAACCAGTGCAAGCAAGGTCTGGGGTCTGCCTTCACAGTCCCCGGCTTTCTCACTGCTTTGGCTCTGCTGCTGTCCTTCGAACCAGCACACAGGAATGACATCGGCCTATCAGAGTTCGACTATGGCTTCGTGTGACTTACAAATCAGGGAGTGGTTTTTCCTGTTCTCTCCCCCATCCATCTCTAGCTAGTGTGGGGCGCGGACCATTCTCGAATGGACCAGACAGACGCGCAGCTGCATCCCTGGCCACGGGCACCAAGTTGAATGTGCCAAATCCCAGAGGAGAGGGAGGGGGTGGACCGGGGCCAGAGACCCACCCCCTGGTCACAAAGGTAATTGCGTTTGGTTCTAATGTCCGTGAGTGCAGGCACACGTCCACAAGCACACGCGCCCGCTCACCCACATGGATGCCCACGGAGAGGTACCGAACTCCCCGCCTGGCTAGCACCAGAAAAGCTGAAGCCAGTCACCGAAAGGAGGGGCTCCCTTTCCCCGGGAGGCCAGTAAGTGCCGTGACAGTCTGGCGCAGCCAAGTCAAGTCACGCTGCCCGGTGCCTTTCCAGGCCTGCGTGCTCCCAGTCAGGTCCCCTAAGGCTCCCACATGCTGACACCAATCCACGAGCACCCAAATCTACTCCCAACTTAACCTTGTATCTCCGTGGGTGAAACAAAGGTTGTGGTACAGGCGGAAGCAGGGAAGGGCCGAGGGCCCCAAGGAGCCCCTGCACCTGGTCCCCTCTGGCAGGGGGGCAGGGGGTTGGTGGCGGGGGGGACTGCCTTGCTGGAGGAGAGCCTCAGAGCTGCGCGGACCAGTGTGGAGACGGTCCTTGTAGAGCTGCGGCACTCTGTGGCCTCTCGTTCCACATAGCAATTACTCCCAATTACTCGTCGTGATTTGCTGTGACTACTTTCCAGTCCCCTCCACCCCCGCTCCACTCCCTTTCGGGCAGCAGCTTGGTTCGGCCTTCTCAGAGACAACAAAGGTCATAAGCCCTCAGTCCCCCAAAGTGTTCCCCAGTCAACCCTCCCAACTTGAGAATGAACACACTGCCATTCACACTGACCGTGACTTCCGTCTTTCTCACCTCGGGGAAGTCAGAGAGGTCTTTTCCGTCGCGCTGCCCGACCCCGATCTGGCACATCCTGTCCGGGCCGCTGCAGCCACGTGGTCTTCTGCTCCCCGTCTCAGATCCTTCCAACCGTTCCTGCTTCTGCCTTCACACTGGCGGCCCCTTTTCCCGCAGTACTCTTCCCTCAGCTGACCCATGGCTAGAGTCCTTATTCTTCCCACCTTAGCCCAATTGCCAATGATCCCAGAGCCTGCGCGGTGCCCCGAAACCAGGCAGCTTCCGCCCTGCAAACTGCACCCCACCCTGTTTGTCTCCAGGACGCCTACTACCTATCTGTGCGCCACGCCTGACTGGCTTGTTTGCGGGTTGTTTTTTGTTTTAATTTGCCTGTGCAATGTCTGAGTCCCCTGAGGAAAATGTAAGCCCGGTTCAGGGGCCTCGTTGTAGCTCCTCCTCTGTAACGGGGGTATCTTCCTCACCTCCCCCCTAGATTTCGGACAAAACATTTACCGTGTTGCCATAAACCACTCTGCCATCCGTCACTTCACCAGGACCAGGGCGTCTTGGCCCAGCACTTCAGAAGTGCGGGGACAGCTGAAATTACAGGGGACCCCGGCCCTTCAACCGCAGCCAGGTGAGCGCCCTTGCGGACGGGGGCGGGGGGGGGGGGGTGGCATGAGGCTCGACAGCACAGGGCTGACTCTGCCCGGGAAGTCCTCCCTGCCCGCTCAGCCACAGGCGCTCAGCTCTGTGCCAGCCAACGGGCAATCCTGGGGGGGTCATTGTGAAGAATTACGGTGCCCTCCTCCACTGGGACCTCTGGGGTCCTGCCGAAGAGAAAGCGGTGGCGCTCTACGGGCTCTTTCTGCTGCTGCTTCATGTGCGGAGTCGGGAGCTCTCCCCCACCTCTCCTCTCTTCCCCGGAGCCCCCCAAGGGCCTCTTATTTACAACGGGCATCTCTGTTGATTTGTGACGGTCTGAAATCTTGGCCTATCACACC